AGGTCCTGTGGACAAGTAACTGCTTTATATTCCAGTTCTATATTCCTTATCGTTAAAACTTTAGATTGAGAATTTTCTAAAACTTCTCCCCTTTTTCCCCACACCATCCAATTGGGGCGTACGTCCAAACTCCCTCCCAAAGGTTTTTGCCAGGAATCCCCGTCTAGCTTCAGCAGAAAAGGTTTCTAATGACCCCGATGGGAGCACTAAGCAAACAAAACTATTCCCACCCCGGATCACCAATTTCAGCCCCAGTGCAATTCGTTCACGTTCCAGGCAGTGCCTTTGCCATTGGGCACTGTAATTTCTCTTCTTTTAACTTTTCAACTTTATGAATAATTAAATGTTCAGTGAGCCTGAGGGGCAGTGACTGATGCCAGGCCTAGCGATCCAGTCTGGGGTTACAGCTGCTGTTACTGTTGGAGACACTGGGAAGGCTTCTCCACCCTGCTCCCTCAGGAACAGTCAACAAGCCTAGTGATTTGGGGTTAGGTACAGAATGATACACATAAGTAATACACAGCACGTTATCTCAAGTATTTTGACTGCAAGGACCAAAACTTTACAATAAATTACATTAGGGGATGTACAGTACGTTCCTTATGCTGTAAAATACAGAGCTGCAGAACTTTACGTTCAGAATATTTAGGGTATATGTACAATAGCCACCACAAAAAAAAAAAACAACTTCTTGATGCTGAAGTCTGTGTGCAATACAGAAAACATCAGTTATAGGACCAGACTGGCAAATAACATACAACGTAATATTGGCATGACTTAAGAGAAAAATGGGATGCTTGGCAGGGATACCGGGCTCTTATAAACTGTGTTTTCATGCCATCAACTGATCACGTTGGACACTACTGAATAAAGTAGGACACAGCTCCACATGTCACCATCATGCTGACAAAGGGAGTCAGTTGCAATGGGCAAAATATTTCATTAATTGGGAGCAGAAAGTTTGCCTGACGTTTCAAATAACGTGAGAAAAAGAGGTTGCTGTTGAGTTAAGCTTTCCCATTCATAGCCTGAAAGTCTTGTCATTCATTAGGGAGAGCTATTTTAAACCCATATGCAGTTGGCAACATTATATAGACACAAAATTTCTGAGGTGGGTCTTAGAAATGTTTAGGAATTCACAAACTGAAAAATGCTGAAAAAGTTTACTCTTGGTCACCAAAATTACCTACAATTTCTTCTGCTGAGGACTCTTTTTCTGGTTTAAACAAGTGTGTGGCTATTTTTTGTTGTATTCTTCTTGGTTTTCTATTCTCTCATATATTTTTTGTGTTGCATCTATTAAAATTTCCTCTCTTTTGTCAGAGTACATGTTTCAAACTTTAAGATGTTACATTTGTGACATCAGGTAAGCCGTTCTGAAGTGCCATTAGTGCCCGTATGCGGAAGGCTGTACCACAGCTTCAAGTCCTGCCTGAAGGCTGTCGTCCAGCAAAAGTCATGGCAAAGAGATGGAACGAGTTCTGGTTCCACACCAAAGCAGGCAGTCATTGCTGCTCTCAGAAGCTCCCCGTAGCATCACTTACAACCCATGGACACGCACATGCCCTTCATACAGCCACAGCTCCACAGGCAACCCGGATTCATGGTCGCCTTGGGTTTTGAACGAAGCAATCTTTATGGAGACACGTACGTCAGCTTCAAACACGTGACAATTTCTCCAATAGCTCAGAATGCCTTTTAAAGATGTTAAACTTTCAACCATCTTTTAAACACCTCACCTTTTTAAATTAAAAAGAACACTCGCAGATACATTTTTGACACAAATTTAAAAATTTTGAAATACAGATATGCATATATACACACATGTATGTATACATACTGTGCGTTTGCAATTTAGGAATTCCCACCTGTCAAGCGTCTTCTCTGTCTGCATTTTGAATGAAAGCAGCGTGGGTTTTTTCCTGGTACTGTTTTTCTTTCGGTGTAACAAGAAAAACATTCATTGAGCCCCACCTGTGGCCCTCAGTCCTCTTTCACGGAAATAAAATTGTATTTGGCAGTTCTCAAACATCCAGTGACAGTAGCATTACATTTTTATGTTCTATTCTTTATATTTTATAGAAATCGGAATGCTCTGGATTATTGTCTGTTACACTATTATATAAAATTTATTTAATCTGAAATCAAAATAACAATCAACAATGACAACCTAACTGCGCTGAAAAGTAGCATAACTACTAAAGCTGCTGGAGGGATGAGTTGGCTGAAGGGGAAGCAGCAGCAGAGAAGGAATTCTATTAATGGAAGGAAGAGTGAAAAACAGAAGAAAGCTCAGGAAGGTCTTATAGAAGATTCATGGAGAAAGTATATAAAATTAAAAAAAAAAATCTCATACTGCTTCTTTGTTTAACTGTTGCTGCTGAATGTATTGCACGTGGGACAAACTGGTGCCTGACTCAACTACAGAAAAGTGAGAGCAGCTATCCTTTAGCAGGGTTTAGGAGTAACCGTGTCCTGACTTGCATTCCTGTGTAAAATATCTCCATAGACAACTTAGCTTAATATATTCTCCAACAGATAAAGCATATCAAGTCAAGGAACCTGAAAGTGTTTATTTTAATTTACCACAAACGCGTTAAAAGCAAGCCAGCATTTGTTATTCTGGTCAGTTCTTTATTGGTTTTCATCCTAAAGACTAGCACATTTACAGCATACGTGGATTGGATGAACTAGAATATATAAAACAGTAGCCGTGTGTTTATGATTAATTAATACTGCCCAAAACCAAATAAATAAAAATATTTCAATGCACAAAGCTTGGCAAATACAGTTGTGTTGGGACAAAACAGCGTTGTATTATACAATAATTTTACACGTATAAATGAAACAAAAGGCAACTGTGCTGTAGGTACTTTCACAGAACATACACAGAACATACTTGGCAACAGTTTTCTTTTTTTACCTTTGTATGTTTTATAATTTAAAAAATGTACTCAAAAAAGAACATTAGACAGAACTTCATTTTACAGTAATCCTTAAATTCGCCTCTCCTGTGCAACAGAAAAGCTTACTTCACCCTCGTGAAGCGTCCTATGTGGATTTCAAGTTTCACAGTTTTTCTTTTTTGATGAACTGCTCGAGATCTTACTGTTCATTACGCCCTTTAAACAAGCCCGTCGATGTGCATGTACTGACAATGTCGCATATATAAAATGTTAGCTGGACAACGACGTTGTATACTGAAATCAGAATATCTTAAACAAAACAATGCAGTACTTGAGACTGGTATTCCACCGCTTTAAAAAGGTGAGCAAAACCCATGCACATACAAAATTCGGCAACTTTTTCTGACTACATTGGTATGCAAAATAAATAAAGGATCGCTAAGCTCTAGAGCAGATCTAATGATCGTTGGCCACAGTCTAAGAGAGTGGCTCTGCTGATTGTTACGATAGACCTCTTGTTATTTTCTTCTGAAGCGGAACATTGGAAGATTTTTAGTGTAACAATTAACTATGTTTGAAATATACAAAATAAACTCATCAACTCATAAAAACTAAGGGATAGAAAGAATATAGTTTATACAAAAATAAATGTAGCATTTAACAATGGGCCAGGGACTGAAGGTTGAGCAGAACTAATGGAGTAACATGTCTAAAGAGATCCCTTCGAAAAGCTTTTCACCACACCTTTGTTTAGATGTTAGCAATAAAATAAAATAAAATCAACACTTACTAATTAACTGGTGAATGGGGTTTGTAAAATTTCCAAGGGACTGTTCTAGTGTAGCTGATTTGTTCGGACCTGGGATAGGTACTACAATACGTTGATTTTGCACAGAATTCAGTGTTTTGTTATCCTAGGGAGACCGAAATAATGGTAACAACCTAGTTCAGCAGAACTCTCTGACCTGGCTTTGTGACGTGCTGCTCAGTGTTAAACTGCAAAAGGCAAAATGCAAAAACTGCTAGACCTGGAACCCCCAAACCTACATGGGAGCAGAATGAACATGACTGATTGATAGAGCAGTGACAGCACAGACAAACATCAGTGAGAGGGAGAAAGAAATCAGAAAACAGCCATATACTTACCTGGCTGTTGCTACTCTCACAAGAATAAATGAGCAGATTTTTCTATTCTAAAGCTCGTATCCTTAGAAACCAAGGAGGAAAGGGCAGAGTGTGCTGAACGAAGCTAGCTAGAGATGACTTAATCCTGTCAAAATTTGGAAATTAATGTTTAGCTGCTTTTTAAAAAGGTATCTTAGCTTCAAAGGCATTCTTTGGGAGATTATTTCCGAGGAGATCTGTTGAACGTTTTCTGTCAAGTGCTATCAAACTGGTCACCTTAGTCATAAGCTAGAACACCTCTGAGGTTCTCACGCATTAGCAGTAGCACGTGAGCAGTTCCTTTCTATCAGCACGGGGCATCGCTACCTTCCTCAGAGATACCCTGAAAACAGTCGTACTTCCCCCCCAGGATTCTGAACATCTGCCCAGGTAAAAGGCAAAGGTAAACAGAAACCAATTTTGGTTACGGAGTAACGGGGATGCATTGGGCACTTGGAGCATTTTTGTATTGACATACAAAATTGATATGGGAAAAAAATCGAACACTAATCAAAAAAATGTAACCCCCCGAGATACTAATGCTTACAATTCAGAAGTGATACAAAAAGCTATGGGTAAAAATGTGTTAATTGATATACAATACCATGGAACACACTGTCACGTGCAACGTTAGCAACTTGCTTGTTGCACTTGCCTTATAGTTCGAAGGGGCAGGGGGAGCTGTTGCTGGCATTAATGGTTAAGCATCATTATGTTTTCAAAACATTTTTTAAAATCAGTTAAGATGTGGGCCCAAGTCCTTATCTGCTGAAGATGACAGGAATTTGTTTTATTCAGATGGAACTAGAAACTAGACCTCATATGCCTGGCCTTTTATGTATTGTTAATTTCATAGATGAAGATGGCATCCTATATACAGTAAACCAATTTACGCTCCTGGCTTTTATTGTGCTGTTTTTTTTTCTAAAAGTCAAACTTCGGTTTCTTGATTGTAACAATGCATTCTACAGTTATTAGACTGTCTAAGTTCCAATCCCTTTTTATTTACAACTTTTGAGTTTTACTCTCAGTTTTAAAAAGTTTATGAAAAGCTCAATCTCAAGGCAACTCAGTATAAAAAGATGTTATGTGAAACAGCTGCCTAAATGCTGTTCCTAGAGTCCTTGCCCATCCAGGAGGTACCTAGCTATTTGCATATAGGTTATTATTAAGTAGCACGATATCTGTTCATCTTACATACACTGAAGGCTATTTAAACGGGCAGAGTCATCACACTATTCTCAAGCTAAGGTGTCAGAATAATTGTTACTGTGGATTCCAATTCTGTAAGTAACATGCTCTGTATAACCTAGCGAAACGTACAAAAAGGTTATTTATCTCTTCTGGATGACAAAATCATGTATTAATCTAGAGTGTATCCACGAGTTTTAATGGAACAGCAATTAAAGGACATAGTATGCTTATGTTTCAACTTTTCCATAAGTTCCTTCTGGAGGCCTGTAATACTTTGGGAAAGCCTTCAGCTGCAGGGAATTAAATGCATACTTGCGACATCCAACATTCTTCATTGTATTTTCTCGCCGACAACCCTCACTGGGGAAAAAAAACAAGCACAAAAAATGACAGCAGTAAAAAGGAAAAAAAAAAAAAAAAGACTTAAACTAAGATGAAATGAACCGGTTATTTTATAGCATTAACAAAAAGTTGGTTATATTTAATGAGCGTTTAATTAATTTGCCACTGCAAATATTAAAAATGATGACTCATCATACAATGCTAGTAAGAAGCACACAGAATGGATACATGCTATGTCTGATTGCTAGTTTTGCATTTCTAAAAAGCAGCAGTGCATCTACTGAAAAAGTTCTTTCACGATGGTTTCATGTATTTCAGGGTACACTGTTGTGGAGTTCACATGCCGCTTCATCGCACAAGGGATCCCAAGAGATTGCTTACGAGCAGTTCTGCTAATTTATTAGTATATTAGGCTGAAAAAGAAAAACTGCTGTTCTCTCAGTAAGAGCTTTAAAGTAATTCTATTGTTCCCTGTATGTCGGCGTTATCAGTACGTACTTAAAGATTAGAGCTGATACAAAAATAATGACTTTCCAGTTATCTCTGCATGCATAAATTGACTTGAAAATCAACATAGTCTAAAAAAAAAATCATCATCATGAAATAGCAGCTTTGTGTGGGTGCAAAAAAGATTGGCTGCATTGGCAGTCATCACCCCGACGAAACAAAGCTGTGCAGAATTTAATTTTTACCCAATGTTTTGGCGCAACTGCCCCACACTACAAAGAGGTTCTGTGCTACAATAAAAAACTACTCCAGTTTTAAGGCTTCTTTACACTTGTAAATCTACTTCAGAGTTCCTTTGACTATATCCAAAAACAGACGTACAAAGAGGAAGCACTATCTTTTAAATATATATTATAAATCAATCTAGGCTTGCAGGAGAATGTCTTTCCCTGAAAGAGAACTGAAACCTAAACAACGATTTAATACTAGAACTTCATGGCAAAGTGTACAGTACACCATCTTATGGTGGAAATGTCACGTTATTCCTGTCTTGGAGATGGCTGCAGCATCTATCAGGTAAACTGTGGTCATCTGATTCAAAAGGAGGGTTTGGATTCCGGTTCAGTTTGAAAGCTCTCTGCTCTTACTGACCTCGCCGTTCTTCTAATTTTGGTTAATTAAACTGACTGTAACCGTGTTCTGTAGGTACCACCTAGTTCGACTTCATAAAACACTGTAACTTTTTGCTTTAAGAAACAGTTTAAGTAAGTTTGAAATTTGTCTCCGGAGCACATTCTGTGCCTGCCTTTTATAGACTGGATCGTACGTGATGACACTATTTTTATGGCATTGTTTTGTGTTTTACAGAACCTCCCCAAAGGCTGTTGCAGTCAAATAGATTCATCAAAAATTTACACAAATTATAGTTCAGAGTACTAACAAAACCAGTAAGTTTAACTAGCAAATATGGGGTGCTGGATGAGCATTTTCACTCCAAAGTGAATCACTCTGTTCATAATTCATTCCACTGCATCTGGTTATTGCACATGTCCCCCTACGGCACAGGCGGGCCACAGAGACAGTGACAAGGATATATTTCACACACCATTTCATGTGCCGTGTTTCTTCTGCTGGAGGCACATAAGCAGTACGCACTACAGCATTTTAAATATGAATGCCTGAACGACAGCACAGACCAAGCTAAAAAAGAAAAAAAGATGAAAACTTGTCCCCACCAAAGTTTAAGAAAAAAAGAAAAAGCTACATTGTTTTCAAAAAGCCTAGGCTTTCATTCTAGATGAATTTAAGGGCGGTCTTACTGCAACCCTAATGATAGTCATGAGCAAAGCCTTCATACTTTATTTAAACAGATTAATAATCTCAGGGAGTTCAGTGGAGATACTTCCACTAAAGTTACTTTTGCATCTTGTTAGACTGAACCCAGGACACTCATCACATCGCAAGAACAAGGCCACAGTCCAACCTGACATTTGTTCACTTTGTAAAAAGGTAGATTTTGGTACCCATAGCAAATGAACCAGTGTTAATCAGAAAGAATAGATGATTTGTATGGAGACACAGTGGTACTAGATATCAGCACAGGACATGGATATGTCCAATACCATCATACCATGATTTTAAATCTCATTAGCAGTAAGGCTTTACCTAAATTCATTGCAACTAAAAATAAATAGGATACATGCTTAAATATATATATATAAAAAATTTTTAAACAAAATTGGAAAGAATAGTGGGAAAAATACCAGGAGATAGTGTACTGTACAGTCTGATTTCGTGAAGACAAAAATATAACCACATACTTTATTTTTTTAGTTAGAATATTCACCAAATTTAGGATTTTATTCTAACTGTGCTTTTTAATTTTTTTAAGCTTACCTCTCTCAGAAGCTTTCAAATTCCATTAGAATTGATAATAAAAGCTATAGCTACCTACGTTTTTTGAGCGAGTTAATAATAGTAGAAAATAGAAATCACAGTACTAGAAGAGTTCTCCTCAGAAGCCCAATTTTCTGTCATCTCAGGCACCAAGCGAAGTAAATCCCTTTATGAATTTAGCAAACTACATTAAATGAGGTTAGGTTTTTTGATCAGCTATTGCTATTGACAAGCTCTGCCAGACCACTGCATCAACAAAATCTTTCAGTTTAAATAGGCCTCTCCCAGTTTGGTGTTGTATATAAATGATCAAATTTCATCTGCAGTTATTCTGTGTGACTAAACTAGGTAAGCCGCTTTAGTCTCACCACTTAAATAAATGTTAACTTACCATCATTCGTTTATCTCTAAGTAAGTCACTATCAACATCATAATTTATTAAAGCTGTCCAACACTTAAAAATGGAAATAACAGTAATATTTAGTCTAGTGTAAGTAAAACAAAGCCCAATGGAAAACCGCAAACCCACCTACTAGAGGAGCTAACTGATACCTCCCTCTTCTTGCCTGAAATATTAAAGACCAATATCTGTAACTTCTAGGATGATAATGACCCTGTTTCAGAGTAAGTTCTGTAACAGAGCGCCTGAAACAGATAATGGATCATTAGCAGGCTAATGCCAATTACACCCTCTTCCTAACCACAAGTCATTCTCTTTATGTCTTTAATACATTACAAAATGCAGATCTACAAATAGAATGAAATAATTCTGCATGCAGCGCACCGCAAGTTGTTTTTTGAGTGGGTACACTAGTCTATTGGAACATACTTAACCATGAGAAAGGAACAAGACTATGGTTCTACAAACTGTTCAGTAATGTAATTTGGATAGTATGCTTTGAAATGAAGGTAGAAATTTGTTTATTTCTTTAAATAAATTTCTTATAATTTCTTATAAACCCCACCCATGTTTTTATTTTTCTCTTCATACCTCGTAAAAATGAAAGGCAAGATTAGCATACACCTTAAATATACAAAAAGATACAAATTCTTTTCAGACAGAGTTCCTTTCTCTGGAATACATGAAACAAGTAACACAAAACTATATTTGGTAAGAGATCTTCAGGCCGGCTAAAGTAACGAGGTAACAGGCCAATGTCAGACTATGTTACAAGCACTGAAAGCAGAACAATAATTTAAAGTTTCAATACAATTCTTTTTGATAAAATAATTTGATGTATATTTACAGTTTAGTACAATAGAAACGTAAAATTGTAAGGCATAATAATAATTCTTGGCAGACAATGCTATGACACATTCCTTTGTCCAGCAGGTACCAAGTGGCAATACACATTCAAGCACTTTTTTGTTTTTGTTTTTTTAACCTTATCTTCACTTGCAACGTAATCTGGCCACCAGGTATGCTATGCTCAGAAACAGCCACACAATCAGTAAATTGGGGCTGAGAGCTAGTAAAGGAATAGAGTAGAGGAGGCTGGGATCTAGTCTGAAATCTCGGATGGGCACCAAGCCACTCAAGTTCTTCTGGGTGACTACCTCCCGTGTTCCAATGCTGTGAAAAGGAAGAAGGTTGGGAGGGGGGAAAATAAAACAGAAAGGAAGACGGACATGCAAATGAATGTATAAAGAGAGATGGCAACACAAGGTGGTCAAGAAAATGAAAAAACATGGAAGAAAGCACAACAAAACCAGAAGATGAAGTAAAGAAAGAGTGGAAAAACATCTCAAAAATATGTATCAGCACAAGTACAGAAACAAGGAGAGGGAAAGAGAATAAAAGAGAAAAATAAGAAAGAAGTACTGTAGTCTACTGAAAATAAACACATGTAGGTTGAACATAAATGGTTTTCCATGTTCATTCTTTCAGATTACCAAGCAATAATAGCCCATGCTGCTCTGCCATGCTTCCGCATGCTGCAAAGAAGTGGAGCTCTGAAAAGCAAGCTGAACATGAATAACCATTGTAGTATTTGACCCTTTCAAACATCTTTCCATGTAGGCTGCAGTGAAATAATTTAACCTCTTAAATACCTGCTCCATATGTAACAAAAACCCCAAATCACCCACTTATTTTTCTGCTTCAACGTGAATTCCAGTGTGTACCAATACGCTTTCCAAAATGCATGTTTCTGAAGTACCTCAATATACGCATGTGAAGGCAAGACATGCTGCACCGCCCATCTCATTATGCCCCTGCTTCCTACATTGCTTTGAGCACAGAAGGCCTAGAATGGAGAACACCTCTTCAGGTAACCTGTGGCTTTGTAGTGTGGTGGTTCATTTTGGATCACTCTTATACCCTGTACAGTCCAACTCTATTTTTAGTTTACAAAGCAACAACTAAATGCAACCTGTGAGCCTGATCCTGTTAGAACAAGTGCACTCGCTCCATCCATAAAAGGTCATACATAACCTTGCTGGTTGCGTAGCAAGGTTAGGTAACCAACAGACAATGTCTTGGAGGACATCAGAGATACTCTGGAGGTGGTGAAAGAGAAAAATAGCCTTCAGATGCTGGTGACGCTTCACATCAAATGGATTTAGGTGGGCAGGGAACTAAACCAACTGTATTTCTGATCTGGATTAACACATCCAAATCGGTGATTAAAATAAGTTTTCACTCCTGGTGCCTACACTGGATACGGGCAGATTGAGTCTGTGATCCAATTCCCAATTATCTTTGTAGTGGCAGGCGAGGAGGGGGAGATAAGTACCTTTGAGAAGAACCCACAATCACACATGGCAGTGGGAATGGCAAGTAGGATACACAGCAATATCCAGGCTTGAGAGGGGGGGCCGCACTGAACGATAGTGTAGGTTTGAGTTTTCTCCATCAGTCGATACCTAATGCCCACCTAATCTGGATAAAAGGAGCACCTGAGCTTAAGGCTGACCTGAGGACTGGACTTAGAAGTCAATGCAGCTGCAGTCTCCCACGTATCTGAAAGTCAAGTACTCTCCTTCCTGCCTGGGCTACTGGTGAATAATGAGAGCACATACAGGAATGTATCTGGTACAGGTAAGAAAAAGCACATGTATTTGTTGACAATTGCCTGGGCATAAATATGCACTGAAAGGCAGTCAAAATATAGAAAGAATATTAAATGAACTGGGGTGTGATCTGTGAGCAGAAAGCTAATGTTGACTGGAAAGTGGTGGATAAAGGTTCAACGGAATAGTCTGGAGGAAGAAAAGTGTTTTAGGATGTAGGTAAGGAAGTAAAACAATGGGGGAGGGAAAGAAGGAAGAAGGCTCAAAATGGTAAGATGACATTATGGACAACACATGCCACTTCTCTGTCATTAAAAATTAGTATCAAGCTACTCAATTTTACACAAAGACATACACACAGACACATACAGTGGGAATGCAGGCAAGAGCTGGAAAATGCTTTCTCTGTCACTCTTGGCCCATGTGGATGCTTCCACCCGAGGGGGGAAAAGTCACCTTTTGGAAATACCAAATATTCCAAATTGTACACAGTGTCTCACATCAAAACATTCATCGGCAGACTACCTCTAGGAGAGGACCAGGGTAAACAGACAAAGCAAATTTCCTGCTAATCCAGCTTGTGTATGGGAACCCTCTCTGTGAGGAGAGGCCACGGCTGCCCCATGCCGGACACAGCCAGTTCCAGCCGGCTCAAATGGACCCACCGCAGGCACAGCTGAGCCCCGCAGCCATGATGGTGGTGCCTTGGGGAAAGCATCTGTAAAGAAAGGCAAAACACTGCATGGCAGTGAGGAGTAATGGGAAAAGATGTGAGAAACAGCTCTGTGAGCACCAAAGTCAGAGAAGAAGGAGGGGAGGAGGTGCCCCAAATGCTGGAGCAGGGATTCCCCTGCAGCCGTGGAGAACACCACGGTGGAGCAGATATCCACACTGCAGCCCGTGGAGGACCCCATGGTGGAGCAGGTGAATATTTCCTGAAGGAAACTGGAGCCCGCGGAGAGCCCATGCAGGAGCAGGTTTATCCTAAAGGACTGCAGCCCGTGGGAAGGACCCACACTGGAGTGGGGGAAAAGTGCAAGGAAGAAGGAGCAGCAGAGAAGAGCTGTTATGGACTGACCACAGACCCCTGATCTCTATCCCCTGTGCACTGTTTAGTGTGGGGAGGAGGTAGAGGAGTTGGGAACAAAGGAATGAAGTACTTGGGCCTGGGAAAAAAGAGGTTGTGGAGAGAAGGTATTTTAATTTTTGTCTTTGTTTCTTACCATCCAAATCTATTGGCAATAAATTAATTTTCTTTAAGTCAAGTCTGTTTTGCCTGTAACAGTAACTGGCAAGTGATGTCCCTGTCTTTATCTCAACCCACAAGCTTTTTCATTGTCTTTTCTCCCCGTCCTGTTGAGGAGGGGGAGTGAGAGAGCGGCTGGGTGGGCGTCTGGCAAGTGGCCAAGGTCAACCCACCACAATTTTGTTCTTAAAGCATGTCAACCAGTGAAGAAATCCAACCAAACTTTTTATGGCAGTTTTATTGCCGTGAGTGGTCATATCACAACATGACCGTCAGGGCTGTGTTATGCAGTCTTTTTAGTCATCACCATTGCAGCTGGAAGAGGTTATTTTCCTCACCCCATTTCCAGCTGCTTTTCAAGAGCCCCCATCAGAGACAGCTCTCAACTTCCTAATTGGTTTAATGAAAATGAGCTGGACTACCTTAAACGTGTAAAGGATTTTGCTACCTAGGCTGATTTTGACTGAAACTGGATTAGACTATATTCACACAAACAGCTCCACTGGCGTATCTGACAGGACAGTAATCTGGTAGGAGGAGGGAGGGCAGGGAGACACAAGTCTAGTGGGGAGTGTTGGCACTACTGCAGATGGAAGAGGCTATGTGATCCAGTTGGACTTTGACTCTTACACTGCCTTTAACTGGCCAGGTAGTCATTTCCTCTGTAGCTTGGACTTCCAGACATATCATGATTTTACTAGTTGTAGGCTGTGAGTTACCATGTATTTGATTTGGGACAGGAAAAGCTGCAACTTATTTACAGAAAGTGAGTTTATTCTAGTAGGATATTTGTTTCTAAGGTGAAAGTCACAAACTTGTATTTGTGAATTTCTACAAGAATCTACAAGGAGCACTCAGTGTTCTCTCCCTGATGTCCCTGCTCACTGGATAACATAATTATCACAGATGCGTAATTATCACAAGACTAGGAAGGAAAGGAAGTCCCTGAGGATGAGTAAGCGGGAACTAACACCTCTGAAGACCAACATCACATTGAAGAAGAGGGTGCTTTCTTAATTTTTCAAGAACAGTGTAAGCAAGGATGCTTTTCTTCTCTGGAAAGTTACCAGTAGAGAAGAGATGAAATACTTTCTTTGACTCCCACAACTTAATAGTGCTTCTTCCCTGTCCTTCCAACTGTCCCAGAAACTTCAGAAGTCTTCAAGACTGAACCAAGCCTTCCTTTTCTAGTACAATTACACAAATGAAAGATCCAAGTTAAAAGAAAAAGCAAGTTTTCTGAATGCCCTGGAAGTAATTTGCAACTCTCTCACTTCCTATGTCTGTCATCTAGGTCAGGTCATCCTGTCCAGGTTGAAATGGGTTTGGGCGGAGTTGGAATCCTACATATTTGTTCCATAATCCTATCTCTCTCGTTAAGCTCTGTTAATTCTGTGTCATTGTTCCCGAGCAGAATTGGCAAATAATTTTAAAAACACAACAACCTACCCCAAAGAGAACGAAATGTGAGGAAGAGAGAGTGATGGGCTTGAAGAATGGTCTAATCTTAGTATTCCTTCAGGACTAGTCAGTATTTGTTCTGCACAATCTCTCTTAGTCAAAGATTTAACAGAAGAAGAGAAAGTCACATCTTTCACCTGTTAGAGCAAGTCCCTGATGTTGCTAGAACACACTAGCCAAAGGTTTTGCCTAAATTGGCCCTCTTTCAATATCCCTGTGTAGGTCAACATAAAGCAATGCATTTGTTGGGTCAATATTTTATCTGATCCTGTGTTATATTAAATTGATAGTCTGAAGGTCCAAAACAATGTTATTATTAACCTGTCTCTACTGTGTCCACAACTGCATTAAAAAACCCCACATTAACTCAGTAACTAATTTAAAGAAAATAACAAGATTCCTAGTATCATACTCATTCAGTTTTTATTCTTACTAAATAAACAACTGTGCAACAAAGCTTTTTTTGTTTCAGATGTCTAAGATGACAAGTTGCATAATTTAAATAGAGACATTTGAGAGCCACTTAGCTTCATTTTAAGTTAATAACTTCTCCCTCAAAAAGCTGCTCCAAGCTTTGTTTCTAATACCAAGGTTTAACTATTCTCTGAATGCAGTTTTCATGTACTGTACTAACTCTGTAACAATGCAGCAAAAAGTGCAGCAAAAAAGTAAAATAAGAAAGTCCAGTGACATCCAATTAGATGTAGATACAAAAACCAAATTATTAGTGTAAGAGGCTGCAAGTGTTATTATGTGAGACATTTTCCTTCTAGGTAACTGAAGAGTAAGAAAGGGTCAAACAGCAAAAACATACAGAAAGGATAAGAGAATTGAACACTCTAGAGATTTTGGTGAGAAGACACACAGTACAGTACATTCAGTAAGAGTGAATGTTGAAAAACAGGACTGAACAGCATTGTTGAACTACATCGATAAAGACTAAGGCTAGATTTCTTATCCTTTCTTTTGGTATGTGAGTTACGGAGTTTTCCAGCAGTGCTTGAAACAAGGCATTGAACAACAGTAAACAGATTTTCTTTTTTTTTTTTAGTACAGTATTTAATTGTGCAAACTTCTCTGCTGCTTCAGAATACAGAACATCATTATATTGATACGACAACAGCACACTGACACATTGTGATGAAATTTGGTTGCTGTATTGTGAAACACTCATACTGACATTTCACCCAGTGAGCAGTGTTTCACTGCTAAAGAATACACGTGGCAAACCAGTGCAAACTGCAAGTGTCTATGTTTCCAAGAACAAAAGACAGGTCATCCCTGAGAAATCTGCCTGATCTAGAACTAAGAAACCCAGTGCTATGACAGTTAAGGTAACCTCATCATTAAACAACTTTCAAAGCACCAGTTTCCTGTTCTGTAAGCTCAGCATGAACAGAAAACACATTTTTACATGCTCCTTTGAAAACTCCCGATTCACTACTGAAAACTAACGCCCATCTGATCCAATCCGGTAACAACCAGCTTTAGCATATGCAACTAATACATGCAAGGGAGGGATGAATTCTAGCAGCCAGTTTTGCAGTTTTCTGGCTTTATTTTACTTTTTTTTCCTTTTGATAGAAACAGAGACCACTGCTCCTCTGCAGTTTGCATGGTTCCTCATTTAGGAATAAGTGACGCAGTCAAACTCTTACCTCCTCATACACTCCAGAGCCTGGGTGAAGACCTGTGGAGCCATTCCATGTTCATGCTGTAGGATCAAACACTGCTCTAGGGTGACCGACATGGCAGTCCTATCCTTGGCACTTTTACAGCTTGTAAATCGAACACCATTTAGTCTGCGGCATATCTAGAAATGGGATATACAATTCATCATTCCTTCTTCATGCATAACCTTCTGTCAGAGAACACACCTGTACTTATCCTCCTTAGAGAGACACTAATGTTGTGTAGGACTTTTGATGTCAAAAGTTGTCATCGTTGAGACAGCAAAACCTCGTTACATGAATTGTAGGGAAAATACTGATGTGGAAAATACATTTTATCTCCCCGTGTCTCATTCTAGAGGAGGTTTAACCTGGCAGCATTTCCAAGCTACATGAAAGCAAATGAAGAAATTCGAACATAGCGGTAACAAAAAAGGGGAAAATACATATGCATACAGAAAATCAACTGAACTATGCAGAGATGCTTATGTTAATAAATACCTCAGCAGCTTGCCAAAGGATATCAACATTCTTATTTTTCCTTGCATGTACATTTTGTCCCAGAAATCTTAACAGTTCAGGCAGGCACGTCTGACTACGAGATCGAGGTAGACCTATAAAACAAACAAAACCAACTCCACTTATTTATCTGTATTCAACACTTCTGCAAAGATAAGTTACATGGAAAGTGTTCCTATATGCCTGTTGCAAACACAATCATGTTTTCTTGAAACTATCAAAGCTTACAACAATTAATCCAATTCTTAATTACTTAGTACCACCAACAAAACAAATTCAAGTTTAATTAAACTCAACTGGAAATATACATTCAGGTTATTTAAAACTTTGCGGGCTCAGAATCTGATAGCAATATAATAACAGAGTGAACAAAGGGAGCAAGATTGGAATAGTTATCTTGGTTTGTGTGTCACAGATGTACTTGCTTTCACACACTGTTCAGAACTGTATGTAAATACATAACTGCCCATATTATCACCCCTCAGAGGTGACAGGATGTCACAGGATGTCTCAGAGGAGACATGCATGTCTCCACAGAAACCTTGAAGATATCATTTTATATTCTGCCCACATTTTAAATTTTAAATTTGCGAGCTGGCCAGTTTTCAGTTACAAGAAACACTCTTTCCGATAGGACATCGCACTCCCATGATATGTTTATTAATATTTCACTAAGTGGAAATAAAACAGTTGAAATTTTTCAATATTTCAGAGTGCTTTCAATAGTCATCTTACATGTTCAAAGTGTTAACACATCATCTCTTACACACATAGCAAGATACTCAAAGACAATCAACAAGTATTAAATAGGTTGTCTTT